ATTGTTTGCTGACTGATTATATGTTTATCTATATATATGCACATATTTGGTTGGTGGTTGAGGCTTTACTGCTTTGTGCATGAGCCAACAAACCGAGGGTATTCCAACACGATAGTTGACTGGACCCAGTTTATGCATATATTGGCATTCCAATCTAGGGTATTCCACCTCAAGGGTGACTGGAGGCTTTGATTAACTGGGCCTGGGGTATTCCAACCCGATGGTTGATTGGACCCGACATGTTTGGTATTCCAATCCGATGGTTGATTGGACCAAACATGCTTATGATACGAGGGTATTCCGTCCCGAGGATGACTAGGCCCGTCGTAGACATGTCTTGTATTCCAGCCTGAGGCTGATTGGGTCAGGCATGAGTATTTGTACATGTGATTTGTTTGTTATGTGTATGTGGTGGTACTTTGGGGGAACTCGCTAAGCTTTATGCTTAGAGTTTCAGTTTATTGTTTCAGGTGCTTCAGATGGTTGTGGCAAGGCAAAGGCGTGATCGTACACATCCTTGGTTTTACAACTGATTAGATCTTGGGAGGCTCTGGTTTTAAATAATGTTTTGGAAACAATGGTTTTGTAAACACTTTTATTAGTAAATGGGTTGTTTTGAAAGGTTTACATTTATTGACATTTTTTGGATGTTACATCATCGCTCGTGTCACTTATCTCTGCAACCAATTGATCGATGGTATCCTTCCACTCAAGGATCTTTCCGATGTTAATTTCTACTATTATGAGTTTGTTATTGAAGCTTGACAAGCCATCTACCGATTTGGCCCTCTTCTTGTACTTTCTTTCCTTCTCCTCAATGAGAAGGGGAATGTTGTCTACATCACTTGCACCTTCCATGGTTAGGATCTCTTGCTTGGATGCACCTGTCTCTAATACCACGTGTCACACGATGAATCTTTCGACTAGTCTATCTCGTGTGTCACTTAGTTTTTTACGACTAAGTTAGGCTAACTTTACTCCTTTAGATGTTCTAACAACAAAAGGAAGTAAGAGACTAATACTTCAAAGCATACAAAGAGAACTTATATTATAAGACTTAATAGTTTTACATGAGAACTTATTGATGGTTTGTTACAAATGAGTTAACCCCTATTAATAGGGTTCTTACACGTCCTCAATGGAATTTTCTAGATCCCGTCTATCATGAATGTTATAGATCTATCTAACATCTTTACAAGGATTCCATAATATTCTTCATTCTTCTTTGGTGTCCTAGAAATCTGTAGGTCGTTCAAGAATCTTCCTGGATATTCCAGCATACTCTAGCGGCTTCTTGAGTACTCCGGAAAATTTTAGGATCACTGTTTGTGACACTTCGGACAACATTTGAAAATATACTTGACTTTGTAAAAACAACCTTGGGACATACGATAAATAGATGAGCTTCATCTTCAAAATAACATAATTTAATTTAAGCATTATTTACTATGTTTATTTTCCTAACTTGAAGATGAGGTCAATTTAAGGGACCTACTATGGTGTATAAAAAGAATAAGAAGAAGTATAAACGTGACCTAGAATTTTAGAATCAGATATTCTTTTATGTGATCGATGAGAGATATATTGTTGCATGTTGGTAATCGACACCATTGATGAAATAACAATGAATATGTTAAAATTCAGCTATTTTGAAAAAAAAAATATAGATCTATACTGAAAAATCCAAAATATAAGGTATTTTATGAAAGAACATCGATTTACTTGTTGGTAACCAGTTCGGGAGATGAAATAACAAGTAATAAGTAAAGTTTGGTCATTATTGAAAAAAAAGGGTTAATACCTTAAAAGCCATTATTTATACATTCTCGTTTTGATTTAACCCCAATTTTATTTTTTGTTCTTGATTTGCCATTATATTTTAGAAAAAGTTTTATTTTCGGGCCCTTGACCGGTCATCAATAGGTAATGATGACGTGTTGGTTTTGCATTTTTCTCAATTTGCATTTAGCCCCAACATTTACGTATAAGTTTGCGTTTAGACCCAACATTTTTTTGTTCCCTATTTATCATTGTTTTTTAGAAAAAAAAATTCATTTTAGCCATTGGCCAGTCATGAATAGATATTTTAAAACGTAATAACTTAAAATGAAAAAGGAAAAACGAAGGTAAGAGTCGAAACTGCGACTTCTCCTTGAGGGCGATGCGTGTTACCTAGTAAGCCAATGACTCTCTTTTTTGTATTATCAGTGTTTGTTGTATTTAATCTACACATGTATTTTAAAATGAAGGAAAAATACCTAGTGTAAGTCTTGAGTCCGTGACATCTAATAAACAATATGACATGCTAATATTTGAGCTAATCAAAATTGTTAATTCATTCGTAACTCATCTAAGAAACAATTGGTTATTTCAAATGACATATTTGTTGATAAACCATATATTTCTAAAGAGTCGAAAATGCATCTTCTCTTTGAGGGGCGGGGCGTGATAGCTAGTAGGTCAATGGCTCTTTTTTTTGTATTGTCAATGTTTGTTATATTTAATGTACACATGTATTTTAAAATGAAGGAAAATGACCAACTATAAGTCTTGAGTCTATGACATCTAATAAACAATATGACATGCTAATCTTTGAACCAATCAAAATTGTTAATTCATTCACAACTCATCTAATAAACAACTTCTTATTTCTAATGACATATTTGTTAAGAAGCCAAATATGTCTAATGACATATTTGTTGAGAAAACAAAGAAATGAAAATTTTGATTGGCTCAAAGATTAGCATGTCACATCGTTTATTAGATGTCTCGGACTCGAGACTTACACTAGGCTTTTTTCCCTTCATTTTAAAATACATGTATACATTAATTACAACAAACATTGATAACACAAAAAAGAGAGTCATTGGCTTACTAGCTAACACGCCCCGCCCTCAAGGAGAAGTCACAGTTTCGACTCTTGCCTCCATTTTTTCCTTTTTCATTTTAAGTTATTACGTTTTAAAATACCTATTAAGGACTGGCCAATGGCTAAAATGATTTTTTTTTCTAAAAAACAATGGCAAATGAGGAACAAAAAAATATATTGGGGCTAAATGCAAACTTATACGTAAATATGAGGGCTAAATGCAAACTGAGGAATATGCAAAACCGACACGTCATCATGACATGTTGGTGACCAGTCAAGGGCCCGAAAATGAAACGTTTTCTAAAATATAATGGCAAATGAAGAACAAAAAATAAAGTTGGGGTTAAATCGAAATGAGGGTGTATAAATAATGACATTTAAGATATTAACCCAAAAAAATATCTAAAAAAAAGTTAAAATATAGGATGTTTTATGAAGAAAAAACCCTAATAATAATATGGTAAAATAGAAAAATAAGGTGATTATAAGAGCTTATGGACTAACAGAAGTGCCCATAAGCTATGTATTTAAGGGATACAATTAAATTAACGGTTTAGATACATATTGAAATGGATGTGATATATTGGAGATGAACAGTACTTTCAAACACCAACAAGATTCAATTGGTACGCCTGTCGAGAAACAATAAAACAACTGCCAACATTTTATGTCCATAGATCAAGGTTGTCAAGATCGGTATCCTAGGTACGATCGTTTTTGGGTTTGCAAGATTGAGATCGTAGAATCGGGATCCGAATCCTAAAATCCCACAAAATAAAAACATAACTTTAACTAGTTATTTTAAAACAAGAAAAATAAATCAAACATTCAGTTTTCCATTCAAAAACTATAAAAACTTCAAAACTTTAGTCACAACTCACAACACAAAATGATAAGGAATAAATTTGTAAATAGTAAAAGATATAAAGTGGCAAATTAATTTTCTTTATTTGTATAAACAAAACATATATATATATATATATATATATATATATATATATATATATCCCCTAATCTAATAAATAAGTAGATTTTTGCCACGTGGCATTCTCCAAGCCCCCCAAATCAAATTTTCCCGCTACTTTTACTAAATTGAATTGTCCAAACTATCATTCATTTCTTTTTACACGATTCATGTTTCCAGTTATATCTTCAAATTCAAATTGAAAATTCAAATCTTTCCTAAATTTACGGCTGTAATTTGCACAATCAAATCCCTCTATATCTACAAATCCACGAGATAAAAGGATTGATTTGTTGGTCATCTCAATTGTTATTTTTCTTTATCAGTATGCACCGATGGAAACCCTAATGGCTTCATTTTCTTGATTGCAGGTTTGATAACGACAATCTACTCCTCCATGGTGCATGATGAAAGTTCATCTCTTCTCAAACCTAAGTAGAGGCATCGAAGACGAAATAGGTTACGACATTTATGTCAACTTTCTGAAAATTCAGATTTTGTTTCTCCATCGTAACATCTATAATATTCATTTCTCCATCGTCGTTACTATATTTTCGTCCAAAGGTCGTTTCTTTCAAGTCGGTATGAATCCCTAAACCCTATTTCACCATAATTATCTCCAAATATCTTCTTATTTATAATTGATGTTCTTCTATGATGGATCATTGGATAAGGAAATTACGTTTCATTATGGTTCACTTCAGTAAATTTTATACGATTCTGATTTGAATTAGGGTTTTTTCCTTATGAATTATGTTGAATGTCGGCATGACTTCAGGTATATTACGTTTTCCCCTAATCTTCAATATCAATCATTTTCTTCTTCTCTTTTTCTCCTGCTTACAACAACCTTAAGGGTGACACCTCCACCCAATGAATAAGGTATACTAGGGTTTTAGTTTAATTGCGACCTTTATCACATTATTCTTCCCAAATCCATTTTTCATCTTACATCTTTGTTTCAGGTAAACAGGTATGAAGTTGACACTTATACAAGTTTGATATTTCTCAATGAGTTTTCAGGGTCACTTAAAACTCAATTCTGATAGATATAAGTTTGTGACAGGTGGATGTTCCTGTATATGCAGTAGGGACTGATGTAAAACCAGCAGAAATAGCTAGACAAGGTCTTCAAGAGGCTATAAAAAGAATGCAGATGTGGTTATAATGGATACAGCAGGAAGGCTTCAGGTTATAATTATATGACATGTCTTTTTAATCATTTCAGATATTAGAGAAGACATGTTTCTTCATTAATCTAACACAACACCCTTTACCTTTTTATTACCAGATAGCCAAAAATATGATGGATGAATTGAAAGATGTGAAGAGAACATTGAATCCCACAGACGTTTTGATTGTTGTGGATGCGATGACAGGGCAAGAAGCTGCAGGTTTTTTGAAATAACTTATTATTACATATAAACATGTAACAATTTACCATACTAACCTTGGTGATAATTTTCAGCCTTGGTGACAACTTTCAACCTTGAAATTGGAATTATTGGTGCTATTCTAACTAAGCTAGATGGAGATTCAAGAGGTGGAGCAGCTCTGAGTGTTAAAGAGGTTGCTCTTTCTTTAACATTGTTTTTCTCAATTGATGTTTATTTGATATAAGATTTTGTTTAATTTTGTGATGTTAGGTGTCAGGAAAGCCACTTAAGCTTGTGGGACGTGGAGAGAGGATGGAGGATCTTGAACCCTTTTATCCGGATCGAATGGTAGGAAGGATCTTGGGCATGGGAGATGTTCTCTCATTTGTGGAGAAAGCATAGAAGTTGTGAGTGTTAATATTAAATTAGTTTTTTTCTTTGTAAAAATGATGGATTGAAATAATTATGGGTGTGTAGATGAAACAAGAAGTTACTGAAGATTTGTAGAAGAAGATCATGAGTGCAAAATTTGACTTCAATGACTTCTTGAAGCAAACTCGTGTTGTTGCAAGGATGGGTTCCATGTATCGTGTTCTTGGAATGAATCCTGGAATGGGAAAGGTATATTTTCGCCCTATTTTACCCTTACATTCTAAAAGGCAAGTTTTACAATATTCATCAATTTTAATAGGAGAGATAAAAGAAGAAGGGAAAATAGGTAAAGGTTAAGTGCTTAACTCATGAAGCTCATCAAGTAAAAAAGAAACACCGATATATAATGTGCCTATTAAATTACTTATTAAGTCAAAAAGAAAAAAAAGTTCTGAATTTTCATAATCATGTTGTGTTTGTTGGACAGGTTACTCCTGCCCAAATTCGAGAAGCAGAAAAGAGCTTACAAATAATGGAAGCCATGATTGAAGTGATGAGCCCAGGTTTTGTTTCTTTTCCAATCTGAATAATATTTTTTTAGATGAAAATTGGAAACAAAAAATAATGATTTTTTTCAGAAGAAAGGGAGCAGCCTAAACTACTTGCAGAATCCCCTGCCAAAAGAAAAAGAATTGCTTAAGAATCTGGAAAGACTGAGCAGCAGTTATATATATATATATATATATATATATATATATATATATATATATATATATATATATATATTGTCTTTTTGGGTATAGGTTATTTAAAATTTTAAAAATAAATTGAAAAAGAAAGGTGAAGAGTCATACAGGTTGTTTAAACTAATTCAAACTTCTATTTATAGCAATATACTTGATTATAATTCTTTTTTAATATTCAATATGTTGGTCACTCTAATAACTAATCAAATATTTGCAAATTGTTAAATTTTGAAAAAAAAAATGAATACAAATTTTGTTTGTTTATTAAAACATTGATTAGGAAGTTAAGTAATTTTTAATAGAAAAATTTAAAAAAAGAAACATAATATTGTTAACATCTATTGTTACGTGGAAGAGGAATAAAAATTCAATATTTCTAATATTATGCGAAATTTAACAAATGAAATTAAATCATTGAAACACAAACTTAACAAAGATTCATACCTTTTTCAATGTCGAATCCCATTTTTTTATGTTTTTCAGCATCGATTTCAATATAAAAACACAAACTTAACAAAGATTCATACCTTTTTCAGTGTCGAATCCCATTTTTTTAATGTTTTTCAGCACCGATTTCAATATAAAATGTAAACAAAATGATTTGTGTTTCAATTAATAGAATTTAATAATATATGATGTTTCATAACTTTTTTTTAATTATTAATAGTATTATATTGCAGGAAATGAATATAGGTAATAAAGTATACCTCAAAAACGTTGAACAGATTGATTATGATTCACATATCAAAGTGCGGGTGGTAAAGATGTAGACTCACAAATAAAACTTCCAATGTTGTTTATAAGTAAGTTTTTCGCAATTTATAACCAACTTTTTTGTAGCATATTTTAAACATTTTTAGCAAATTACACTTCATTCATCATATTAATTAATTAATTTATTTATTTATAATTACGTATTGTATTTTTTTTATGTTATTTTCATTACTGACATGTTTTGTTTGTTTTGTATCAAATCAATTTTGATGTTTTTTTGGGGTTTTTTTTTTGTCATTACTCAAATGTCTGTTGCATTATATAAAGCCATGACTTTTATAAAATATGTGGTTTTACATTTGTAATTAAATACTTAATATTTACAAAATTACTAATAATATAGAACATATCCGAAGATAAACACCACCATTGCACGGATTTCAAGGTTATTGCCAGTAAGCCTAGAAAAGAAACACATGACGCGGTAATTCAAGGTAAAGTTTTGAAAAAAACCGACGAATACAACAACAATTTCTATTAATTTCACGAAATTAACACCATTAACGATGAAGAATGAGTAAAAATCCTACAATGACAATGACGAATGATGGAGATAGTGGAGTTGACTTATTGGGATGATAATTTATAATTGTAAAAGTGGCGTTTTAGCCAACAAACGTTTTTTTCTTCCCACTTGCTTCCTTGTGGTTGTGTCATCATCTTCATATGTTCAACGATAATCATGCACCAAAAGTAATGATTTTAAAAATCTCCATTTCTAATTGAATACTTACCATTTACTGTGTAATTAAATAATTACAAATCATAAAGTTATTAAAAAATGCAATATTACAATTCATAAGTTTTCTAAATTAATGAAATATTATTTTATTACATAATTAAATTTTAAATTCTATTTAAAATTAACACCCGTGGGTTCCATGGGTTTTCACCTAGCATATATATATATATATATATATATATATATATATATATATATATATATATATATATATATATATATATATATATATATATCAACGGAAGGTAGGATAATCGGATCCCGAATCTACGATCCTACCTCCAAATATGATCCTGATCGTTTTTCATACCTAGGATTGTAAGATCGTACGATCCTACGATTAAGATCACGATTTTGACAACCTTGTATTTAAAGGATATATATTTTATTATTTGTTAAATTGCATAATTCAGTGATTACGTGACTGATTTATTGTTTGAGAACATTTATATGATCAAATATATGTATTTGATGAATTTTATAGCGTTGATTTTGTGGATTATAAATGCTAACCACTACTAGAAAACTGGTGCAATAGCTACAGCACAATCTGTAGCTATTCCGTAGCTATTCCGTAGCTATAAGCGGATAGCTACGGAATTGCTACGGAAAAATGTCTGTAGCATAATGGCCCGTGGGAAAATTATAGCTACGGATTAGCTACGGAATAACTACGGAATAGCTACGGAATTTTCCGTAGCTACCATAGCTACGGAATAGCTACGGAAATAAATAGCTACGGATTTCCTACAGAATAGCTACGAAATTGAATAGCTACGGAATAGCTACGAAAGTGGATAGCTACGGAATAGCTACGGAATAGCTACGGAATAGCTATGGAAGTAAATAGCTACGGATTTTCTGTAGGTAATCCGTAGCTAATTACTTTTTATTTAAAAAAAATAGTAAAAAATTATAAAGAAATCCAGTTTTTTCTGTCCAAAATATTGAAAAAACCCATTACATTAAACTTAAAATAATATTGAAATTCAACTACAAAACAAATATCATTATAATAAAACTAATAAACCTAAAAAAGTATCAAATACAAATACATATTACTAATTAACATTGTCTGATGATACACATAATAAGTGTCAACTACAAATGTTTAAATAAGTGCTTACAAAATAAAATTGAAATTTTTTTGATGGATTACTTGGCAAATTATCGGGTAAGTTGAATCGATAAAGGCTGACAAGTGCTCTTCAATTTGAGTTTTGAATCAAAGGCCGCCAATTGTTCCTGTTATAGCACACCATAATCAATGATCACAAAAAAAAATACAAATATAGTAATGTACTTTCATTTAATTGTTTATTATAGCCTTGAAAGTGCAACACTATAAGTAAGACAAAATGAAAGTAGGATGTTATAATAAGCTTGTATATCTTTCATTTAACTAGCTCAGAAATAAAAACACATTTCCTTCCAAGACTACCTAACATACATAATACCTTTTGAACTTGTATTTTCTTGAAAATCGAAAGCATTTGTAAAGAGGAGGTTCGATCCATATTACGCCCCTGCACACCATATTACGCCCCTGCAGCACACAGGAAAAAAAACTCTTAAACTTTTTGTTTCTTTCCCAGAACTTTTAAATCCTAAAGATATAGACAAAAGATTCTTTGAAACAAACATTTACATTATTTATTACATTAAACAGCTTGCAAAGGGTGAAAGCCATCATGAATAAGAAAATTTAAACTCTTAAACCTTTGGAAATTACCAAATGTTGTTTATATCTCCTAAACAAAATGACCAAATGTTGTTTATATCCTCCTAATAACTTTTAAATCCTAAACAAAAGTTGTTTCTATACATTCTCTAAATCCTAAAACATATTGTTCATATTAAATTTTCATTATTACAACAAATAGATTCATTTTTTTCATGGCCAAACCTGTTTTTAAGAAGAAACATTGCTTGGTTGGCAAACCCCTTTGAAATTAATCACCTTATAACCATTTTGACAATCTAGTTTCAACAAAGTTTCTAAAGAACATTATATAAAATTGATTTTTAGGGGAATATAGCAAACAGTTAGGGATTCGGAGTTCTGGAATTCAATAGAATCAAAATGACAGTAACAAGGTTTTACCTTTCATATAAACCTAAATATAAAATAAATATTTAAACACTTCAACTAAATATAAAATAAATATTTAAACACTTCAATTTCAAAGATTCAAAGAAATTAGGGTTTTACCTTTTACAAATCAACTTAGGAAGAAGAGGATGAATAATTAGAGTGGGTGGTCCACCGACGACGGCTGAGGATGATCTGTCGACCGGAGGCAGCGTCGACGACTGTTCTTCGGAGATGGAGGCAGCAAATCGACCAGAAAATGGAGGCAGCGGTGGAGGTTTTTTAGCTTTGTTGGAGAAAAAACGAGCAGCAAATCGACCTGTTCTTCGGAGATGGAGGCAGCAAATCGACCGGAAAATGGAGACAGCGGTGGAGTTTTTTAGCTTTGTTGGAGAATAAACCGAGTAGCAAATCGACCGCCGGAGCAATCGTTTTACGTGCAGTGGCCGGAGCATCGGTTTGACGAGCGGACGATCGGAAAAACGGAGAAGACGGCTGAGAAGGGAGAAGAAAGGAGGAGAAGTCGTTAAGGACTGTAAAATCGTGTTCTTGCCCTAGAGGAGCCTTTTATTATAAGGGACAAAAAAAACGGGACTTAAAAAAGGGTGGGGAGGATTCGAACTCCGGTTTGCTGCACATATTATCAGACGCTTTACCATCCGGCCGGGCATGCCAC